TACTTCTGTTTCTGTACAAGCAGAAGAATTGTTCCTTCTCTGTTCTCAGCATTCATGGTTGTTTTCAAATAACAAATGGCTTCAGTTTCCTGGCACAGTTAGAGGAGCTTCATTCTTTAGTCAAGGAACAGAAATTTTGTAGTGCCTTTGAATGTACTGATTAATCTTGATGATCTAATGTTGGTTTCAGGAATATATATTTCTTGAACATTAATGCATGCCAGAACATTAAACTTGGCACAAATTAAATTCTATGATTTTTTGTAGATCATTTTAGATTGATGAAGCCAGTAAATCTAGACTGAGAATCTAGCTAGCAATGAAAATAGGTGACTTGCACAGAACCAACATGCACACAGGGTGGGTGGTTTTTTCTTCTGTTTAAGGGAGAATTCCATCTTTCCCTGTCATTTGATGAGCTAATATTCTGGCACAGGTGTTCAATTTCAATTCAAACATGGGTTTGATTCACACTCCATGTTCTGAGAAATATTTACCATCCGAAAAGAGGAAAAAACGGAGGAACTTATTGTCAACCTCTTTCAGATATGAATCTATTTGATTCAGAAGGGAAGAATAAAGGGGCTCGCTTTGACTGTTAAGAGTAGGTAACCTGTTCCCTGTCTTTGTTTCTATTGACTGTTTGTCCCTCTGTTAGAGGTGTTCCAGAAATATCTGCGATGGAGTAAATAGTTCTACGAATGAATAGATCGTATTGACTTGGAAGAACCGCTAAGCCTACATTATATGCAATAGTACCTAGAATTACTACTAGAAAAATATATAAAAGACTAGAATGTTCAATTGTCTCAAGACAAAAGTAATTTTATGAATTATGGAAGATATGAATTCTCCCAAAAAAAAAAAAAAAAAACACAACAAATTGTATCTCCAACATTCCCCCTTCGGTAGCCTGTGAAAATTTTAAAGATAATCATGAAAAGTGAAACTTCAATACCAAAGATATACAATATATTTTCAATTATCTTTCGATTTAAAATCGTTGGATAGATACTCTTTGATTTGAAACAAAAAATTAATTAAAGCGTTTTATAAATGTACTACGTTTTAATTGCATTGAACGCCTACAACCTTTACTTATTACCGTACTTATGTCATCAACTTTTCTCCATTGCATTGTTTATTTTTATATTTCTATTATTAACATATATAATCTCCAATGATGAATTTTTACCGTTGATTATATTATTCTGCAAGTGTACAGATTGTAAATTAACACTTATTTTCCTTAACTTTGGATATATAATGCTTCTTTTCAGGTGGTTACAAGTACTACCTATGTACTATAAGTGAAACACGCTACTAGGATTACATGTTTAAATAGTTGAATCTATATTCATGAAATTAATACTTGTTATAATTTTGAATAAAAGTATGAATAATTTTCATCTATATAATTTTGAATAAAAGTATGAATAATTTTCATCTATACCTTCAAATTTTAACTACGTAAAGTCACTATTGCACTCCCACGTCACATGAAATGTTGAATTGGATTGTACACGAGCAATCTAATGATTCCAGGGTAGGCAAAGAATGTTTCAATCCATATGTTTATCTTGATTCCTAGATGGGATTGATGAGTGTAACATATTTCATGCAATTTTTAGAATTTTTCGTTATTTTTAGAAAATGAATATATATATATATATATATATATATATATATATTAGGGTGTCAAGAGACTCTCTATTTTTAAATAGTATATTCTACCATTTAAAGAGTATCCATAAATTTAGAAAGTAAAATTTTTTAAATATTCCAACGGACTTTTTATATTAACACTTAATTTTATTATTTTCAAAAAATATTTACTTTTTTCCTATATTTTATTTTTACTACCTTTCCTTTAAATTATTATATTATTTTCCTTCATTGAAAATTAAAATACTTTGAATACATTTAATTATAGAGAATAGATTTTCCTCTCCAAATTTACAAAGTCAAACTCACTCTCTAAATTAAAATGTTAATTTAAAGAGTTCCTTAGATTACAATTTTTTAAGGGTTGACTATTTAAATTAGAGATAATCTTATGTTTAAAGAGAGTCTTTTGAAAATATTCTTATGTAAAATTTTAGTTGTTAAGAAAATGGTGTTGTGTTTGAAATTGTTGACATTGTCCCCTAAACTTCTTGATTCTAGAACTTCTTGAGAATATATTTAAATATTGACGACATTATTGTTATATGTAAGAATGATTAAAATTCATCTTAATTTCAGTGGTGTATCGTATTGCATTATATAGAGCTTTACAAGATAGTATAAATGGAATACAAATCAATAATTTACAATAAAATGGAAACCGTGTAAATGAAATGGAAACCGTGTGAATTAGCCTCCTTCGATTACGTGATTAGCATTGGCATGCTATGGGAAGATTGTGATTGAGGAATAATATTCTCAATCACAGTATTATTTCCAACACCCCCCCCCCCGCAAGCTCAACGTCGGATTTGATCAGACATGGAGTTTGGAACGAAAGAGCTCAAATAGAGGTCGAGGAACACTCTTGGTAAAGATATCAGCAACTTGTAGATGAGATGGGACATATTGTGTACGAAGTTTTCCCGCGACAACAAGCTCACGAAGAAAGTGGTAGTCCAATTCAACATGCTTGGCCCGCTTGTGTGAAATCGGATTGGAGCTTAAAAAAATGGCACTTTTGTTGTCACATAAGAGAGTGGGCTGCTGAGGCATGAATACCTTGAGGTCATGCAGGAGATGTGTGAGCCAGATGAGTTCAGCGGCAGTGGAGGCAAGGGCACGATACTCAGATTCACAGCTGGAACGAGAGACAGTCGACTGTTTCTTGGCACTCCAGGAAACTAAATTGTCGCCAAGATAGATAGAATAACTAGAGGTCGAACGACGAGTATCCGGGCAGCCGGCCCAATCAGCATCAGAATAGGCTACAAGAGCACCAGGAGAAGTGGAAGGGCGAAAATGTAGGCCATAGTGAATGGTGCCTCTAACATAGCGGAGGATGCGTTTAACAGCCAGAAAGTGATCATCAATGGGAGCGTGTAAGAATTGACTGACAGAGTTAACAACATGAGCAATGTCGAGCCTTGTGATAGTCAAGTACTGTAGTGCATCGACGAGGGATCTATAGAGAGTAGGGTCTGAAAATAGAGAACCATCAGCAGAAAGATGTTGAGAAACAACCATGGGCATGTGAACAGGTTTACTATCAAGTAATTGAGCTCGAGTAAGAATGTCCTGTGCATATTTGAGCTGACTGATGAAGAGACCATCAGAAGTTGGAATGGCTTCAAGACCAAGAAAATAGCTGAGAGAGCCTAAGTTTTTAGTGGCAAACTCAGAGTTAAGTGTACGAGTGAAGCGGGCAAGAAGTGAAGAATTGTTGCCTATAATAATGATATCATCAACATAAAGAAGTAAATAGATAATATCGGACTTCTGATGAAAGACAAATAGAGATGTGTCCGCACGGCTGCAAGAAA